GGAGAATACTGTGGTTTAAAAAAAACAAAAAAGGCTCAAACAATGCCCTTAGGAATGTGGAGTCCTTAGAAGGATTTGGGGAACCTAAATCCCAAGGTCAGGCTAGAGAGTTATCTGCTTCTCGGTCTCTCCACCCCTGCCAAACTCGACAGAGGTAGGCACTGGGCCAGGAAAGATCTAAGCCTATGATCCTAGAGAGAGGGGTATAATTCTTACCCCCTCACCCTAATAAAGGGGATCTATGTATGCATGGAGCTACCTCGGCAAAACTGAAAGGGACTTCGTAGAATAAGTTATGTCTGATTGCAGTCATGTGGCTGTTCCTTCCTCTTGCCCCATTCAACAATCAGAGACCCACTCATCTCAGTACCACCCTTCCCATGGGAGAAGAATTAGACAAACCATCAAAAAAAGTCCTCACTCAAAGCCTGCCCCCAATTCTTCCATCAAAATCATTATCTGCATCAGCCAGGAACCCCTACCCTCAAGGAGAAAGATTTCCCTGCACTTTCTCACTTATCAGCAACTCTCCCAAGGCAGCAACAGTGTCTTTGTTTAACTTTTCCATCCACTAAAATATGAAGGCTTATGCAAGAATGTCCTCTACCAAGAAAAACTAAGTAGGAGGGAAAATCTCTCTAAGCGAGAGGGAAGTAGGCCAGAGGACCAGTGGAGACAGAGAGCACAGTCTCTCAGGCAGGCAATGGCCAGAAGAGAGAAGCCCTCTGTGGTCAAACGCTAATGCTCAGCTCTCTGTTCCTTACATTTCATGCTGGACTTAGGCCAGTGTCTCCCAGCCTGTAAGACAATGCTGGCAAGAGCTGGCCAAAATGCCTGGTGCATGATTTCATACAAGGGCTTAGGGTCTTAGAAGGACCACAGCAGAGAAATGTCTTGTTTTTGCCTCCTATGGAAACTCCATTAAAGTGATTTTTAAACTAGAGTCCAAGCCAAATCCATTCAATCATTTCTTCTAGGGAGGACGCTAGCAGAAGTCCCAATAAACAGGTACCAACATCCAGGATAGGGATAACTGAAGGGCCCTACAAGCAGAAGTGCTGAGATGCCTTAGAAAACTTTCCATGTGGGGAGAGTTTCTGATGGATCACCTATTACCCCCAACCCCAACAGTGGATCCCACTCCTCCCAGTCCAAAAGGAATTTGATTGTCACCAGCTCTTTTCCCAGGGGACCTCCTCTCAGGACACATGACTTTGGGAAAAAGGAAGTAGGGCAAAAAGATAGAAGAAGCAGATTTGCTTTTACTTCTGGGAGATTACAGTGAGACACATCTTCACCTGGCAGGAATCGTGGCTACTGGGTGCAGGAACTGAGCTTGAAGCAGTTGTGTGAAACCAGGCTACTTGACACTTATTACTGTTAAAACCTCAAGACTTAGCTCAAAGGGAAATGAAGTACAATGCTGTCTTGTCTAAGGGCTACTCACTTCTTTTTAAAGAGCTTGCGGAAGGAGCTGCGAAAGCCCCCTTTCTGGTCTTGCCTGGGGTTTTGATCGCTGAAAGATGTTTGTTCACTTTCTCTTTCTTCCTTTGGACAGAATCTGGTCGTGTCTTCTAAATGCATCTCCTGAAAACACACAGAAAAGGGGTGTTTTTTTCACTCTTTTCCAAAGTTAAGACCTATCCTAACTGTGGGACAATTTTAACTTTGTCACTTTCCTCTCTCACCCCCCAAAGACTAATGGTGGATATCCTATTCCAACTAAAGCAAACCTAGGCTAATTGAGAAATCAGTAGTTGAAAAGAGGATAATTTTTCGCTGAATGTAGAAGTATTTCATATGTATCAAGGCAAACAGTTTACAGTAGGATTATAATATAACAATAGTTAAAGAGCAGGAACTATAGGAAGTTGGCAAATGTTTAAAGTGTATAGAGATTAATGTCTTATTCTGGAATGAACACTGTCGTGCTGAAAAACCATTAGTAGTCCTCTCATATATCTGGGTATGTTTCTCTTTCTACAAAATAAGAAAGTTCCTTGGTTGTAATACTAGTTTTAAATTCATGTTCCTAACTCTTCATTTTAGACGTAAGTAAGGGAGGGAGTTTTTGAGAGGTCCTATCTGTTTAGAAGTAAATGTCAACTAATATTTCCAACTTGCAGATAGGCCTTTAATCCAGTTTTTATAATTCTTAATCCATGGTATTTGGAGTATAAAGTAAAAATATATAAAATATAGGACTATCGTTTGTGAACTCTCTAGTTTCTTTTTAAATGTGAGATGTGCTAAATAAAATAGGTATGCATATATATTTATACTCCATATGAACAAAATATTTACTTTCAGGTGACTGAAATTTAAAAGCAACCAAAAATAAATGTTTAATTTTGAACCCAACCATCAAAGCAAAAACTACCCTGAAAGTTTCATGAATTGAATAGATGACTGCTTGCTGATACAGAAGCAAAGAGTGGGGATGGATTTTCTTTAGGAAAAATGTGGGTTTGCCTTTTAACTTGAGGTTGTAGTAACAGATCTAGAGATTCTCTGAGATTCTACTACGATTCATAATGAAACAATCAAGGTCAACTTCTTGATAGATTAGTGTGGTGTTTCTCAAAGTGTGGTCCTGGGGCTACAGAATCACTTGGGGCCTCTATTTAAAATGTAGATCCCTGAGCCCCAACCCAGTCTTGCTGAACCAGAATCTCTGGAGTTAGGCCTAGGTAATTCTTATGCACACTTAAATTTGGAAACCAATCGTTTAAGGTATGCTCCTGCCTACCTGCACTTAATGTTTGTATGCATCATCTGGGAATCTTGCTAAAATGCAGATTCTGAGTCAGTAGGTCTGGGGTGGAGCCCCAATTATGCCTTTATAACAAGCTCCCAAGTAATGCATTCACTCCTATCCCAAGGACCACATTTTGAGAAGTGGGCTTTTAGGGTCTATTTAGAAACTATAGTGGAATCATGATCTTGGTAATATCTTGCATTCATATAGCATTCCATACTTTACAAAGCATATTCACTAACTTTATCTTATTTGGCCTGATCCTCACAACAACCCTGTGCGGTAGGTAAGGTATATACTGTGTTATTTTTACTGATAAGAAAAACTGGAGGCACAGAGAAGCCAAATGAATTGTCCAAAAAACACACAGCTCTTTGGCAGCAGAGCCAGGACTAGAAGTTAGATCTCCTGACACCTAGTCAGGTGCTCTTTGCAATAAAGCATACTGTCTTCTTTCCTAGAGACAGAAGACTAAAAGCTAGGGTTTGACCTCTTTCAATGTCCCAAGACCTGCAGACACCAAGGTTAGACATCAAAATACATTGATTGGAGGCCAAATGTGTTTGTGAATCAGTGCTTAACTATTTTTTGTCCCCGTCCCACTGGAGTCTGTAATGTAACGTGACACCCTTTTCCAGTTAAAGGAAAACAATAGGAAATGAACTCCGTTTTGCATTGAACCTTGCAGGGAGTCTACAGTGAGACAGGGCAACTTGCCTCTTCCCTAGCTACAAAGTTGATCCGGGTTGGGGAGTACAGTAAGCTGGCACATAGTATTGGATATATTGAACATTTAAACAAGGAGGTGTGCCTAACAGGCAGAGGAAGAAAAACAGGTGTGTAGTGCTTTGAAAGTGAAGAGCAGCCCTGAGTGAGGTACTACAGCTTCAGCAGGAAGGCAGAGGACACCCCTCTTTCACTGGGTGTGGGGGTGATGGTGTAAGCAGATCTAAGAAGAGTCCGTCTCTCTTTGCCGTGGTACATATAAATGTATGACATGTTCTTGTGTCCTGGTGCTAACTGCAGCACAGGCGCTAACATTCGCCTTCGAGGGCAGCTGAGGTCGGTACCAGCCTTTCCCCTCGGCATCTGCCATAACAAGCCGGCGGGCATCGCCCAGCCCGGCCCCGCTCCCACTCTAGGAAGCCCGCTTTCCTTCAACGCTAGGTGAGCCCAGGCTGCTTCCCTGGAGATCTAGGCCCCGGGCTGTCAGCGCTGTGGGTTTGGGTTCGGTTTTACTTTACCCTCCTTACTTCCAAATAGGTTTGCTTTTCGCTTTGGGACCTCTGTTGGGGGAAGTAGGTCCTGGACGCGCCTCGCACAGCGGCGGCCTGGCCGTGCGGCTGCGCGGCGCGCTCGGCCTTGAGCGGCGCGCGGCCGCCGCTGCTGCTGCGCGTGCTGTAGAGGCGCGGGGCCACGCCCTCGGCGGGCGGCGCGCGTGGGAACTCCTTGAGCGAGCGGCTCAGCGGCTTGGCCTTGCCGTGCGCCTGCGCCTGCGCCTCCAGCTTGTAGGCCCCGCTGCTGCTCGCCGGCGACGTGGCGCTCTTGGGCAGCGGCTGCAGCGGGTGCTCGGGCCGCTCTGCCTCCATGGCGAAGCTGACAGGCCGCAGGAAGCAGATGTCCAGGCTGGACTCGGAAGAGGCGGGCGAGCAGTTCTCAAAGAGGGTCGGGGCCTGGAAGGGCTCCTCGTCGTAGGGCGCGGGCAGCGCGAAGATCTCGCCGCCATATTCAAACTCCTCGTAGGCCGCGGGCACGAAGCCGCGGGCTTCGGTCAGAAGCTCGGCCGGCGCGCGTAGGGAGCGCTCCACGTTGCCCAGCTGCTCGGCCGACGAGGGCTCGAAGTCCATCTCCGGGATGGACTGCAGGGGCCCAGAGAGCGCCTTCACGTCTTGCTCGGCCGCACAGAACTGTGCCTGTGTCAGGAGGCTGTCGGGCCTCTCGTGCTTCCTGCCCTCCATCTCCCATTCGCTGGGCTTCCCGGGCTGCATGCTCTCCATCAAGCTTTGCTGTTGTTGGCTTTTCTTCATTGGGGGCATCAAATGTCTTTAAAGGAGAAACAATACAAAAGAGGTGTGCTTACGGTTTGTTAGTGCAGGCCTCGCACTGAGCAGCGCAAGGCCGGGAGCAGCACGCTTCCTGCCCCATACTGCTGCAATGCAACACTGCCAGTTCCTCTCCCCGCTGCCCCTCCCAGGCACCTACATGTGTTACCTACCAAGCTTCACAGGCCTCTCTGATTAAGGAGTTCCCACGAGCCCTGGTCCCCCAAGTGGGAGAGTGAAAATGGCCGTCTGTAAAGTATCCGTCTGAGCAAGGAGGCTCTGTGTAGAGATGGCTGGTGGGCCAGGGATGGTCATCACTCCCCACATCGAAGCTCAGACCCGCCCCACCAAATGTCAGGGCCCCACGGTACCTCTTTTCTCTCTTCTCTCCCTTTCTTGCCCTAGCAGAGTCATACACAATAATACAAACAACTTTTTTTCGACACATGTATCTTAGCACTTAGTAACCATTAAATACCTAGAGGAAGTAGATGTGGTAGGACCTTGTTAACTGTTGGATCTGGATCATGGCATATGGGCTCACTGTAAACTTTAATGTATATTTGAAATTTTCATAATAAACTGAAAAGTTCCTTGTGGCTATAAAGCATGCTATATAAGTTGTCCCAAACTTCACCACAAAAACGTTACCAAAATGGAAAGGCTGTCATTCTAAATATTCCCAGAGTCATGGACTTTTTGTTTGTTTGTTTAATTATGGATAACTAATAATTTACGTAGGATACTAGGATAGCATGCTCATCGGATTAGATATGATTTGCCAATTCTGCTGGAATTTAATTGCCAGACAGATGTGAGTGGACTACTATACACTGACCCAAACTGGTTAATCTGCTAGTTTATTTATTCATATTTAATTCTATCACAAAAAATGCATAAAGAATGCAGATGTATACGCTAACAATATCTTTCTCTGGTGATCTCAAGATGAAAATTAGGTCTTAAACTTATAGAGGTGAAAAGAAATGGTAAAGTGGAATATTCATCTGACTCAAATTCACTTTTAACTTAGAAGATTGTTGTTGGTTTTTTCCTAGCTGTTTTTCCAACACAGAGTGCAATGACAGCCATCTTGTTCAGTCTGGGTATACTCTGTAGAGATTTCAGCTTGGGGCTTTATTTGTTGGACTTCAAAGAGGATAGTTTTATCATCTTAAGAGCTAAAGCCATCCTCAGAGTAAATATCCATTTCCTGTCTCTCTCTCTCTCTCTCTCTCTCTCTCTCTCTCTCCCCCCCCCCCACTCTCCACCCAGGAAAGGTATTTTTTCTGTGTGGAGTTCTCTGCCTACAGGACTTCCGGATTTTCTCTTTAGGAAGAAAATCATTCTTGGCTCTATTATAGAAAGATTAATGTCTCATAGGTTTCAAAATGATTATGGCACTTTTCCCTTCTGCCTCTCCACATTTCCACTTCCATCTCTTGCTGATAAATGTTCTCAGTGTTAAGAGTTAAGGGCAGAAAGAGGAAACAACTTATTTTGCATTATTGATCAGTTGCTCCTTCCAATGATTCTAATTCCAATGAATGCCTTCCAAGGCATTCTAAAATCTGCAGTGATTAAAAACAATCTCAATGGCCTACCTCTTACTTCAGTGTAATTATAGGAAAGAAAAGTAGATTCTTGTAGGACTTGTGAGTTTTCTTAAGAGAGAATTGTCTCTATTTGGTAAAGTGGGGATTTGGAATTTGGAATTTTGGTTTCCCTTATCCTTCTGGAAGTCCTGGTTTCAAAAGTAGCCAAGTTGACTATCCTTATCCTTCAGAGGTAAAATGAATTCCAGATAGGTAAATGGTCTAATTCTTACCCTAAAGGTCATCAAGAAGTTTGCTGAGTGAAAGAGACGCTGTCATAAGTGAAGGACAGAGCTTATGAAGTTCCTTTCTGAGGACGCTTCAAGAAGAATTGGTAAGGGCTAAACAACATTCTTTCTGGATTACCTCTGACCTGTTTCTTATCCTCAGAGCCCAGACTTCCATTGACCACTGACTGGGGTTCACTTTCGCTTTACTGTAGCTTCTGGAGACCTTAAATGGGTTCCTACTCTTCTGAGGGGTGTATAAGGCTTCCCTGTCTTCCTGTGGCACTCTCTTCCACTCTAGCATTGCTCAAAACCAGAGACTCATGCTGAAGGTGGAGGGTGGGTATGTTTGGTAAAATTGTTGGGAGCACCCTCCAGCCTCTAGGCCTGCCCCTTAGATTAGCGCCTTCCTCTGGGATCCAAGCCTTGGCCCCGCTGCTTCCTGCCACATAGAGGTCTAATGTAAGAGGGGAGAGGAGGCCTGCTGGCCATAACTCTCAATCCAGGTTGAACTGTTAGCCCACACAGGCTGCCTTGAACCCAAGGGCATTGCCATTAACCTTTCCACAGCAACAGGTGCTTACGTGACAGAAGGGCCAGAACTTGGAGCAGAAGGGTAGGGTTGCAGCATCTCTTCTGAGTGGATTCCGCTGTCACGAACAGCCTCAGGGCCTGCAGTGGGAGAAGCATCTTGCCCAGCGTTTGCACACTGGGAAGCCAGCCCTTTGTACAGTTTTGCCATGGATGACCTAACAGAATAGAAGTAATAATTCTCAGACTGTATGTACAGTGGGAAATTGCCTCTTTGAACACACAGATTGTGCTAAGAAACATAGGGAGACAGTGTTTCTCAGACGAAGCTCAGCTGTGACTTGTCTCCCTCTCCTTCTCCCCCTCCCCCCCCTCCAGGACCCTCTACAAACCAGGTTGCGCACATAATAAGGTGTAAGCTGGATACTGGGCAGGAGTAGAAATGCTGATTAACTGGCTGAATTGAGTTTGGGGGCAAAGGAGTGGTAAGGGGAGATGTCCTCCATTAGAGGAGCCCTGGGTTGGGAGATACCACCTTTTTCTGGTCTGAAGCACCCACAGAAATGATTCCGTTTTCTTCACTGGGATGAGATGAGGTTGAAGGAAATCCAGGTCATTAGTAAGCTCTCCTATTGGTTGCTTCTATTCTCTCTGAATCCCAGATTCTCTCTAATCAGCCCTTCCTGTTTATGCTTAGCATGAAATCTGTTCAACCACCACCCTCTCCCTTATTTGTTTTATTTTTATCCATAGCATTTATCACTATCTAACTTATTCACTGGCTGTCCAGTTTTAGAAACTAAGCTCCATGTGGTAATGATTTTTGTCTATATTGTTCATTACAGTATATTCAGTGCATAGAACAGTGCCTGATACACAATAGGTGCCCAATAAATAGTTGTTGAATTAATGAAAGAAACCACATTCGGGCCTTTAAACTGCATTTTTTAAACCTAGCAAGTTTACGGTAGTTAGCAATATGAGCTAAGAGGGCAGCTGTATAGGCATTAGAGTGAAAGTACTTATTTTTCTAAGGTAATTTCCACCAGGTAATAGGTGCCTCCCTCCTGTAGCCAGTGGCCACCTCTCTTCCCTTCCCTCCGCTCTTCTACCTCCTGCCACTGCATGTCAGCCACTTAACATACCGTATTTGCCGGCGTATAAGACGACTTTTTGGCCCTGAAAAATATGCCTCCAAGTGGGGGGGTCGTCTTATACGCCAGGTACACTTCAGATAGACTGCCCATAGTGCTTGCCCCGTGCCATAGTGGCCTCCCGATGCCCGCCCACTTCATTCCACATACCGTTCAGGCATCAGCAGCGCTGCTGGGTGTATGCTCGGCTGTTATGCGATTTGGCTGTTATGCGATTTTACCACACTCGCAAAATCGCACACAGCCGACCATATAACAAACTCTGTATTTTGAGTGGAAATGTTAGGGGGTCGTCTTATACGCCCAGTCGTCTTATACGCCGGCAAATACGGTATAATGTGGTTACTTGTGACAGATACCCACATCGACTGTATCCCTGTTTTCAGAAACCTTTGATCAACCCTCTAGACTGCACCATCAGAACCTTACTTCTTGAGCTTTTTCCGTTTCTGAATAAGCAAATCCTCGTTGCACTGAAACAGCAAGGTGTAGTGTGAGATAAATACTCGAAGGCGCTGAACACACACCAGAAGTAGGTAATAGTCAGGGTGTTCCTGCTCTGTGAACTTCAGGACATTCTGGTTGAAGGAAAAAGGAAACAGCATGCATCATGAGAATGAAAAGTTGTTCTGTCTCTCCTGCACCTTGCCTTGATCTGTTATGAAAGTCTGGTAACCATTTAATCAAAACAACAGCACATATGTCCAATCTATAAGCTGGAAGCTCAAACTTGCTATTCTCTTTGTCAATCACACCAAGGGAAATAATAGTCACTATTGCACCTGTTTGAGTTTGATATGAACATAAGATAATTCCATGTGAAAAATTAGAAGGATCTATTAATTAGATCTCTGAGGCAATGGGGTCATTCTAACAATCATTGTCTATAAGCAATGCTTATAACCCAAATGAGTCAGACCAGTGGTGAAAATGTCAGGCATCAAGACAAGCTGGAAGAGGGTGGATGTTTATGATCAAGCCTGGCCTACTAGCTCCTAGTACATTGCCTACTGTACTGTAGTAGAACGTGCATGCAAGTTGGATTGGGGAAAGCTAACACTTATTGAGGGCTTCCTAGTGCCAAACATTAAGCCCTTTACATCTATTTTTCTCATTTAATTTTTACCACAGCCTGTTTAGATAAGATACCATTATTATTTTCATTTAACAAGGAAATTGAGGTATACAGCAAAGTTAAGTAATCTTCATTAGGTCTCCCATCTGTTGGGTTGTCGGAAAAGTCATGTCACATTTTTGCAACAAAAAACAGAAAAAATATGTCATGACTTCTCCGACAACCCAGTAGAAGCAGAGCCAGGATTTGAGCTCAAGTCAGATAGTAGAATCTTATTTACCATGCTGCTTGCAAGACCTGGTTTTCAGGCCTATATTTTTTTTCACCTACTAGGTGTGTTAACTTGGGGAAGTTACTTTACTTTCATGGGATTGTTGAAAGGATTAAATAAGATAACTATTGTGAGAAAATGATTTTTAATATCTAAAGCCACATACAATTGAAAGCCTTTTAAATATTGATACTGGGCTACATCTAACTGAGATAAATCCCAAGCATTTCTAAGATGCTTTCACTGAATTACTTAGGAAGATCAGTTAGCAAATCAGGACAGGTGGGTGGTGGTGAACTCCTCTCTCAAATCTACTTTCTCCAAGGTGGACCAAGCCCTGTGGGCAATGATGTGAAGAAGTCAGCTGCTCAGCTTCTTCTGTGACATAGACAGGAGCAATGTATGATAAACCCTTGAGCTCAAGCCAAAAGAAAGTAGTTAGGATAGCAGTTAAGTGGGCAGGTTACCTAGATATTTCTTAGACACCAGGGGGCTGGGAGTTGGGGATACATTTAGAAGGCTGTGGAACCAAGGTGGAAGGGATTGAACAGGTACTCAGGGTCGAGCAGGAGCTGCTACAGAACGATCCCGTATCAGCAGAGGTGGAGATTGCTGGTAAATGAAGATAGAACTTCAAGGAAGACATCATGAGCCAAACATTTGTAGAGACAGATTTTAGCTCATACCACAAGGTGGGGATGGAGTAATCATAACAAACTAAATTATCTACATACTTCTTAGAAATACGAATTATTCCTTCCTTGACCCCTTGCAGTGTTTCATGGAAGTCAAAAACAATAGCTTATCCAGAAATCACTTTGGTGGCTTGCCCCAGTCATGCCTACCTGCAGGTGTATCAGATATTCAGGGATGCGCTGGACTATATGAAAAAACAGTGTATAGATGTCAGATTTAATCTCTTCATCACCCTGAATGAGAGAAAGATAAAGTCACCTTTCAGTGTCCCTCCTTCTGGGCTTCTGGCTGCGGAAGCCCAGACTCAGTCCCACCAGAGTAGGAAGCATTTACTCCCAGAGCATTTTCTTCCTGTAGAGGTTCATGAAACATTTATCTCTCATTGGATCGGCTACTTGTTCAGGGATGTGCTCAAGGGGACAACTCCTCTAGCAGGGAGCTTATCAGATACTTCTACTGAATCCACCCAACTTTCCAAACTTCCATTCTCCCCCAACCTCAGGTCTTAGCACAATGTCATACAGAAGTAGGTATTCAATAAATTATATTTAAGTTCAATGAACTCATTAAGGTTCTCCAGCAAGTAATCATTACAATAGTTTACTAATAGGCACTGAGGGTGGATTGGAGCCTCATGGCATTGGGGAAAGGAATATGATTAGAAACTGGCCTGGCAACAGGAATCAAGTTGGACTTTCTCCATGTCCCTTCCCTTCCCTTCCTTTCCCTTTCAATATTTTCTGAGTACTAACATGTGGTAGGGATTATACTTGGTTGGGAGTAGTGTGTGTGTGTGTGTGTGGGGGGGGTTGAAATAGAAAACTAGTAAGACCCTCATCTCTTGTGAAACTTGATTAACTCTCAACTTTAGAGCTTCTGATATGGTTTCTTCCTACTGACCTAACATAACTGGAATTGTTATGTATTTATATGTGCTTATCGAGCACCTAATATATCACTTCAGTAGCAATACTTAAGGCTACATGACTAGAATCACTTTACAATCTTATAAACTGACAGACACAGGATGACTTGAGTTTAATATTCAGATTATATAAATTTAATATTCAGATTAATGTTATCTGAGCCTGACAAAAAAAAAACCCTTCATACAGCATGCAAGCTGCAGCCTGAGGAGCTCTGCTTAGGACACCTGTTTACTTTGTCTAAGCTTCCAATAGAATGAAACAGGGTCAGTAAGGTAGGGCCAGGACCAAAGCAATGGCGCTCCCTGCTCCTCAGTGAGCTCCTGTAACCCCAGGGAAGAGTGCAGTGGCTCTGTTCAAGCCATTCCCCCATCTGGAAGACTAGCTGAGTGTGCATGAGCTGTAATTCCTGGGTGGATGAGCAATACCATAGACATACACAAGTAACCAAAGGGCAGTGCCCAGATAGTTAACCTACCTCCTTCAGAACCACAACATGAACCAAAGAGATGCATTCAGGCAGGTCCCTCAGGTAGGCAACATAATAATCCAGGAAATTATTCTTGAAAACAAACATAAAAATGCAGGGTAAGAACCTGGAAACAGGAATGATAACAGCTGATATTTTTTAAAGTCATGTATGTCAAAAAGAAGTACTTTGCAGAGATTATCTTAACAATTTATTGTGTTCATTAATATGTTTTTGTTTTTTAATTCATCTTTTTAAAAATCTTTTTGGTTTTAAGGTGAATATCCCTATGGACTCAGGAACCAAAACTCAGTAGCCCTGCTTTAATGAGAGAAAGTGAAATGATAAACCAAGGCAGGGGAGAGGAATCATGTTAACTTGAAAAAGTATTTTTAAATTGTTAAATAATAAAAGTGCATATTTTGTTTTAAAATTATTTTTAATTTCAGTAATCTATATCCAGATGAGGAACTTTGTCCAACCCACTTCATACCGTCTAGGTCAGTGGTTCTCAACTTTTTCAACTAATTGCATATTTCCACTAATTGTATATTCACCTATGCAACATGCCTTCAGGAAAACTTCAGAAAAAGTTCTCAGCTTCCAAAGTTATATTCCCACCGATATAACAATTCTCAGCCCAAGAAAGCATACTGAATACAAATGACTAAAAGAGTATGAGAGGGATAGCATTACATCTATTCTAATCTATACTGGTAGATAATTTGTCTTTTTTTTATTTTTTTATTTTTATTTTTTTTAGCTGAGCCATCCCGCCACCTGTTGGCAGCTCCGTGGCTGCTCACCTCGGGCTGACTCGAACCACTGTTGCTCAGAGCTCAAACTCTTGAGCGAGCTCTTAACCAACTGAGCCACTCAGCCGGCCCGGTATACTGGTAGATAATTTGTAAACTTTGTGTTATTATCCACAGTTGAGAATCATCAATATACAGAGGTTGATTGCAGGCAAAATCTGGCTTGCAGACCAGTTTTCATTAGCCCATATAATAAGATAAGGAAATTTCACACAAAATTCTGGATTTCCAGCTGCTGTTAAAATAATCAGATCTGGCAGCTCTAGTCTTTTTTCCTGCATAACAGTTGGATAAAGCTGAGTAGCAATTCCTTTTGTAAAAGCATATGTGTTCCACTTAAGTTTACTTCCCAGCAGTCCATGTTGGATTAAATTCAGCTTACTTCCACTCATTTATATTATAGTACTCTCTGGCCCTGTAGGCATTTGAGTTTGCAGCTTTGGCCTGGATCATATTTTTTTGTAGAGCACCAAAGATTTTGAAACTTAACACCCTTTCTCCAAGAGAGTGAAAACAAAGAACATTCAAGACAAAGAGCTGCCCATCATATTTTTTTAAATCTCTAAGGAATGAAATTGGGTGTAAAAGTATATACATATATACAAACCTTAATATATTTATTTTATATGCTTGTATGGATATACATGTATTTATATGCAAATACATGTACATACATACACACGTCCACATGCACATTCAATGGCAGCAGTTACAGTGCAGTGGAAAGCGATGAACTGGAAGCTAGAAGACTTGGAGTCTAGTCACAGATCTAATCACAACAGCCTACCTAGCTGGGTGTTTTCAGCAAAGTCTTTTAATTTCTCTGAACTTTAGTTCATTATCTCTAGAGTAAGGAGGTTAGACCAGATCTCAGCGATTCCCCTAACTCTGAAATTCACTGCTTTTAGATTCTCCATTAAGAGAAGTAGATGAGGGAGACTCAGATGCATATAATTCAAGTTTGTGAAAGACTAAAAACAAAACAAAACAAAACAAAAACCCTTACCTCATCATTTGTTAATTTAAGGAATAAATCTCCAAGGACTCCTTGGCGTGGCCACTTCAAGACCCTTTCCTGCAGAGCATGAAGCAAATCCAAATGCTGCTGGACCAGGTACCGTAAAGAGCTAGGGAAGAGGCTTGAAACAGAACAGAGATAGAATCACACAAACCAGCTGTAGAGAAGCAAAGAGCCAACACGAATATATGCAGCAGGTCCCATTTTTCCAGTTACTTCTTGAAACATGCTGTCACAGATCTGCATTTAAGATTACAAATTTTAGTTTGTCATTGTAGACCTGACAGCAGACATCCACAGGACATAAAAAGACCCCTTTACTGATGGCTTCTACCTAACTGTGTATTGAACTAATAAAGAACACATCACTTGAAAGGCCTTTTTAAAGCCAAACTGGTCCACTCTCATTTATGTGACAGTGGAAATTCTAAGGAAAATCTTTTTCAATATCTTAAAGTTATTCTCACTTGATGTGTAAAATAACCTAATTAGTGTTGTGGCTGACAGCACTGTGGTGGCATTAGTCATTCTTAGCTCTCAGGTAGGAGTCTTCACTTAGGTGAGTAGGAAAATTAGTTTAAAGTTAGCAACTGAAAGCTCAGGGGATGGATATGAAAGCATTCCTTTTTCCCTTTCCTTCAGTTTCTAAGATTCAGAATGGACAAGAACACTACAGGGCCCCCTTTCTATTCACACACCCATCTTTGCCAACTCTCAGTATGCCTCATTTTTTTCAGAGAAATTGAGGGAGAACGAGAGATATCAGAGAAGGATGGGGTGGAGAGGAGAGACAAAAGAATCATGGGAGGAAGAAGGGAATTGGCTACAGAAAAGTAGGGTGATCAGGGGCCTATAAGAATGAGGAAGGAAGAAATAGAAGGAAAGGAAGTTTTGCTGGGCTACAGCAAGGATTTGAGCTCTAACTTTGAGACTTAGAGGAATTTAAAGTAGGTTCCTTTCTGCTTTCAAGACCTCAAGTTTGACAAAGATGAAAGTGAACTTATTTGACTATTTCCCCAGGGTACAACGAGAGTAAATTAGTGGATAATTGGGGTGTTTTGCCAGCCTCGAACAAGCAGACCTCTGTTGGGAGTAGTAGGAAGGACACCACTTCGATAGGAGGTTTTCTCCAACCCATCTCCACGTAAAGTAAAGACTCCCCTGTGGCTTTTGCTCGGAAAAGACATACAAACAGCAGAAGAGGGTGTCCAGCCCCCTGTGATACAAGGGTTCCTTCCACGCCCATCTGCTGCTCCTCCACCTCCTGTGCCACTAGGCTCCGCGTATGCGAAGCTGCTGATCCACAGGTACAAGAGGGGAGGCCTCCTGATCTGAGCTGCTAATGCTGACGCCGCGGGCTCCCAAGATCCAAGTAATCCCTGTCCAGATCAGAGGGGTGTCTAGGAGACAGCCGGACTGGGAGAAGACCATAAAGCTATAGAGGAAAACACAACTGATTGAACTGAAACACTGCACCAGTAAAAATTCTAGATGTGAAAGACTTCTCCCCACCCAGACGCTATCTATGAGTTTGGGTAATTTTCCTGGTGTGACACTAAAAGACGTTAGGGTGCCATGGTGAGATCTGACTTCGGGATGGGTTGTCCATGTAAGTTATATAATATGCCTTGGATTCTCCCTTCTTTCTCTCACCTTTCTCTCCTCTCCTCTCCTCTCCTCTCCTCTCCTTTCCTTACCTGGCCCCTCCCCTCCCCTCCCCTCTCCTCTCTCACCCTTCCTCCCTCCCTCTTTCCCTCCCTTCCTCCCTCTCTTTTTCTTTCCATAAAGTTAACTTCTGCTACACTGTGACCAGTGTACTTGCATAGTTGGAGCGCTGGTAAATGGTTAGTGTCCAGGTACTTCCTGGACTGTCACTGGAGTAATAGTTTGAGATTTCAGGGTTGGGGTCAGAGAAGGCTAATGCTCCCATCAAATATCGTGGAAACACATAAATTACATGAAGAGCAATGACCTATGGTGGGTTCTGTACCAAACATTGAAAACAGGCTTAAAAATGTGTTTTTTTAATTTAATAAGGATATTATTTGAAATCAGGGAGGAATATGGAGGCCGTGAAGAGCAGGGGGAGAAAGAAGTAACGACACACTTAACCTATTTTACTGTTTTTGCCTAGAGCCAGACCTGACTTCCAGAGGTAACTTTTTCATGAAGGTGAAAGTATTAAGTATTCAACTTCTTTCCTGTTCCTTACTAGGGGTAAAATAATGGAATCATGAGTAGTTTATTCTTTTTAAACCCTTTAAAGTTATTTTAACTCCCACAATCCTGTACTTAAATAATGAGGGAAACAAACTAAAAGCAACCGAGGAAAATCCAGTTATAGTTTCAAATTAATGCTTGCCAGTCCAGTATTAGGGCCAAAATAACTCCTGAGCTTCAGCAGCAGGATGTAACCACTTTGATGGGCATCAAATGTTTGATGGGCACATAATCAAACATGTGCCACCTGGTGGTGATCAGCAGCACACAGCTTGTTGAGTTCCGGATGGATGGATGTGGCTGGGGAACTCAGTTTAAAAGTCTAGCTGGCAATCCTGCCAAGCTGATAATGCCCCGTTCCACAAGTGTCCAGACAGGACTGTTTGATCCTAAGGTTGTGGCTCTATCTGGGTGACTCAGACCACAAAAGCCAAGTTCTGTGATCCTGCAACCAACGAGCAACAGCCCACGAGATCCACTCAGTGCTCTGCTGGCAGCCTGTGCCCCTGCGACTCCCAGCCCTCCCCACCTGGGCAGGGCTGCCTAGAGACAGGCTGAGGAGGCAGCTGAGCACTACACTTGTTTTCTAGGGAAAACCTGAAGCTCTGTTTTATAGGTTTGAGAAGATGTGGCAACCTCAGGTTTGAGTGTCAAGTTGTAGTTGTGGTAGGTGTTATTTTCACCTCCAGGTTACTTTTCAATGGGCAGAAAGTGCTGAAGGCTTGTGGTTTGTGATGGGAAAGACAGTATATGTTACATTTATTTTCACCGTTGCACGGGGAAAAACACCAATAAGGAAACGGAATAGTCTCATTCTGTTCTGTCTTTCATTCAGCTGGTCTAATTCTGAAGCCTAAGGAGGCTTTAGCAAAGACTTAGAAAACCAGGGGTTGCCTGCTGTCACTGCCTATTCTCTCTCTCTCTCTCTCTCTCTCTTTTTTTTTTTTTCTTTTCCTATTCTCTTTTCAAAGGCTGTTTCAGGAACTCTTTACAGGTCCCAGAATTCCCAGAGTGGAAACAATAAACAGCTTACCTTAAATCTTACTCAACCTGAAAAACAAAGGCAATGGATACATGGATACCTTCTCTCTTTGGAATTCCTCTTTCCATCTGAGCCCTGGAACGTTGCCTTGATCTTCAGGATCAGAGAGATGTTAATGACATATTTTCTTTCTGATTCAAGCAGTTCCAGAGCCACAGTCTGTCTTTTAGCTTTAAAAACAAACCAGGGAGAGAATTTTTGTTAAACACTCCTCCCCTAAACCCTATAAAATGATAGAAAGCAATAAAAATATATTGAAAGCAATAAAAAGAGACATCAGCAAGTTTTTGGGAGATGGAAAACAGAATGGAGGCATGGTACTTAGTTCAGCAGAGCCAAGAGCACGAAAACATGGGAAATCTGCTGAGAAGCAGGAAGGCTCAAGGATTAGAGGCACCAGGCATAACAGAAAGTGCAAATAAGGGGCAATGCTGCAAACAAGAGGCATAGTCTGCATAAGTGCAATCGACCCTCCAGGTCCCCAACCCCATGACAGATGGTTTCCTCATTTCCACCCATGAGAAATGAGAAAAATTAAAGTAGAGAAGCCCTCATTTCTGGTATCTGGGCTAAAGACATCAGACATACTAGAGGGCAGAGAAGAGATTAAAATAACAAGGGGACTCAGAGAAGGCTTACATACTGACCAGTGAGATTCCCCTCAGCCTCTTCTCCTACAGGTCCCCAAATACCAGAAGTCAGACATACTCTTTAGGCAGGAGACCAGAGGATCTTCCTCTGGAGAAACTGAACTGCCCAAGGAAGAAAGATCTACAGACACTAACATAAAAAGGCCACCTATTGAAGTTAATTTACCACCTGATTAGCCAATAATGAAGCCCGCAGCTTGGCCATTACAAAATTTTCAGGTTTTTTAAAATTTAGGGCTTCTCTTAGATATAAATAAATAGCTAAGGAGCCTCAGACATTTGAATCAAGCCTTACACCATAAAGAAGAAAAAAATATATACACATGTATCTTTTAAAAAGAAGAGGGGAAACCCTAAATAAAGAAACGATGTGGCCAGCCGAGTGGCTAGTTGGTTAGGAGTTGGCTTGGGACACCAGCTCTGAGCTGCAGGCCCATGGCTCGGATCCCACATGAGGGCCAGTGACGCTGCGCACTCTATAGCTAAGATGGTGAACAACAGCTCAACCTGGAGCTGGGTTGCCGTGAGTCACTGGCGACGGCGTAGGCTGCAGTGGGGCTGCAGTGGGCTGCCGTGAGCTACCGTGAATGGCTGGCAGCCAGCATGAGTGGCCGGCAGCCAGTGTGAGCTGCCAAGAGCCACAGTGAGCGGCCGTCCAATGACTGGCGAGCGACTGCCTCAGCCGGGAAGAGCGCAATGATAATACCAACATGGGCCTGTGAAGCGATGTCCTCCACAACTAGACTGAAGAACAAAAGGACAGCGACTTGTCTGTTCCCCTTCCCTGATTCCCCAATGCTGTTCCCCTCCCCCAATTCCCCAATAAAATCTTTAAAAAAAAAGAAAAAAGAAACGATGCAAGGGACGTAATGGTGACTATAGTTAATAATACCTTATTGTATATTTGAAAGTTGCTAAGAGAGTAGGTCTTAAGTGTTCTCATCACAAGAAAAAAGAATTTTGTAACTATGTATGTCGACGGATGTTAACTAGACTTACTGTGGTGATCATTTCATAATATATACAAATATCAAATTATGTTGTACATTTGAAACTAATATAATGTTATATGTCAGTTATACCTCAATTAAAAAGACAGGGAATGCAGAAATGAAAGGAAAGTTTTTAAAAATATTATAATTAATATCCTTAAAGAGATATGAGAAAAATATTCTATTTTGATAATTACAGGATGCTATTTTTTAAAAAGAACAATCCAAAAAAGAAGAAGAAACTTTTTGGCTTTTTTTTCAAAGATAAAAGAGTAGAAGATAAAGTCAAGGCAAACTCCTACCTAACGCTCCCCTCTCCTCAAAAAAACAACAACAATAAAACAAGAAAGAGATATATTGAAGAAAAAGATGGTAGTGGACAAAATCCAACATCAAATTAGTAGAAATTCCAAAGAAAAGAACGAAAATGGATGAGAGGATATTATCAAATTAATCTTAGAAAAAAATATACCAGGACATTATTTCCAAAGGAAGGGCCTAGTGTCCTCAGCATAATTAATGAAAAAGACTCTCACATCATTGTAAGGCACAACACATCACTGAGAAACTTTAGCACAGCAAAAGTAAAAAGAAGATCCTAAAAGTTAGCAGTAGCAGAGAGAAAAATCAGATAACAAAGGACTGCGGATTAGAATGGTATTGGACTTTCCAATAGCAACTTTAGAAGTTAGACAACAATGGAACAATTGCTTCAAAAGGATGAGGGAAAATTATGTTATATTTAGCTAAATTATCAAGAAAGCATGTAGAAGCTACTAGACGATGGATTCCATCAAAACAAGGACTAAACCAAGAAACCAAGGACACACAGATTAAAACAAACAAACAAACAGGAATCTAAAATAGGAAGATTCTGAAGGGAATTCCTAGGAAGACTGGGAAGTCCCAAGATGGCAGCAGTACAGTGGGCCAAAATGGAGTAGGATGGCAGAGGGCAAATGCTTTAAAAAAAAAAATGTAAATGATAGATTTTTATGTTACTTAAAAATATTAAAGAAGACCTATGCAAAGGGAGACATATACCATATTCTTTGATTGGAAGAAAGTACTGTCAAGATGTCAGTTCTCTGCTAATTGGAATAAAAGGAATATTTCTAATTCTAGAAAAAGAATCTAGAATTAGCCCACCCATATATGATCACTTGACTTTCCCTATGCAATTCAATGTGGAAAGAAAAGTATTTTCAATAAATGGTACTGAAGCAAATTGACAGCCATATAGGGAAAAAAACTAACCTGGATTCCTTCGTCACACCACACATCAAAATGTATTTAAGGTAAGTTATAAACCTAAATGCGAAAGCTAAAGCTATAAAGATTTTACAAGAAAACATAGCAGAATATCTTCACAACTTTAGGATAGGCAAAGATTGCTTGGAACTACATGTAAGTTACAATCTATTTTAAAAGTTTCAAATTGATAAACATCAAAATTAAAACATCTGTTCATCAAAAGACTATTAAGAAAGTAAAAAGGAAAGCCATAAACTGGAATAAAATAATCTTGAAACATATATCTAACCGAGAACTCATATCCAAAATATATTAAGAAATCCTACTAATAGATAATAAAAAGATAAACGACCCAATTTAAAAGTTAGACAAAGGACTTAAATAGGCACTTCATAAAAGAAGATATACAAATAGCCAAAAAGCACATGAAAAGACAGTCAACATCAGTAGTCTCCAGGGAAGTGCAAATTAGAACTATAATATGATACCAGTACACACCCTTGAGAATGGCTAAAATTAAAAAGACTGACCATACTAAATACTGGGAAGGACATGAAGCAAGTGGCACTCTCCAACATTGCTGGTAGGAGTACAAAATGTTCCAACCACTTGGGAAAACTGCTTGACATTTCCTTTTAAAGCTAAATCTAATCCTATCCTATAACCTAGAGATTTTACTCCTAGGTATACACCCAAGAGAAATGAGAGCATACATCTAAAAAAAATAAATAAATGAAAAAGGCTTCTACAAGACTATTCATAGCAGTTTTACTCATAATAGTTCTAAACCAGAAATGCTCCAAATGTCCATCAACAGGAGAATGAATTAACCATGTTGTTCATTTAGTGTGATTTTTAAAGGAATAAATTACCTAATGAATTATATGCAACACATTATGTTGAGAGAAAGAAGCCAGACACAAAAGAGTACACATTGTGTCATTTCATTTTTAAGAAGTTCAACAACAGACAGAACTGATTTATGCTGAAGGAAGTCGGAGTAGTGGTTCTTTGGGTGGGTATTGACTGGAAAGGTGCATGAGAGAACTTTCTGAGGAAATAGAAATATTATATATGTTGATCTGGGCAGTAATCACAAGGGGGTGCACACATATAAAAAGTCAATAAGCTTAAACTTAAACTTTGTGAATTTTACTCTATGTAAATTAACCCTCAATAAAGTACTGATAAAAAAAATAGCATACATTTTTTTAAAACACAGAAGCAAGTACCAGAAGAAACTGTCAAAAGAATTTAAAGTGGTTGCTGCTGTTCTTCATAATAAACCTTTTATAATAGTACTGTTTTAATTTTTCATGTATTGGGTAACAATAATTAATTTTTAAGTTACCTCCCACAAAACAGTTGGAGGGAAACGCTATTGTCTGACACTTAGTAAGTATGTAGTAACAATTTATGATTTAAAGGAAAGGAAGGAGGGGGGAAAGGAGGAAGGAAGGGAGGACAGACTGTTGCAGTGTTTGATGTTTTGGTAGTCGACTAGTGATGCAAGATTCATGTATTGAAGATTCCGTATCACTGACTAAATAGTGCCGATCACAAAATTCTGCCCTCTTCTGTACCATCCTTATAGCTTTTCCCCCCAAAGCACTACATTACTAAATGTCATGGATACCCAGAATCAAGGTGGTAGTTCCAGCTGGCCATGTAACCTCAGGTGAGTCCCCTCACCACTATAGGCTTTAGTTTGTTCATCTGAAAAGGGAACCAGACCCTAGGTGGTCTCATATGTCCACTGAATTTAAGTTGTATGGATTCCAGCCCTTGGGTCCATCCTGTTCTTTAAATTTTTAGCCTGCATCCCCCCTTGGGACTTACCAGCTAAAGAGGTTTCACATAAAACATTTTCCAAAGAGCTGTGTCTGCCCTGGCCAACTTCCTTGAGTTTATCTGGATGGTCTTTTGTGACATATTCCTCGCCCCATTCTTTACCCTCCTTAGGTTGTCTCCACACACCAGACGGCAGATGGCCCTTAGATTGGATGTCGGCCGTGAGACAAGACTTGAGGTTTTCTTCTGTTTCTGGATTTGTTGGGTTCATTCCTGAAAAATAATACTTGGAATCAACATCTGAGTTTTTTGTGGTTTTTTAAAAAATTGTATTTGTTACGAGCTCTTAAATATTATGCTCCTGTTTGGGTACAACTATCCCTTGAGGGTGAGAGATGTTCATTGCAGCTTTATTTACAGTGGCCAAGACATGGACACAACCAGAATGTCCTTCAATAGATGATTAGATAAAGAAGTCATTCTGCTGTAAGAAAAGATTAAATAGTGACATTTGCGACAACATGGATGAATCGAGATTATTACGTTAAGTGAAATAAGTCAGACAGAAAAAGTCGAGAACCATATGATTTCACTGATACATGGTATATAAAACTGAAAGCAACAAAAGAACAAGACAAACAAATGAAGAAACAAAAACTCATGGACACAGATAATAGTTTAGTGGTTACCAGAGGGTAAGGGGGGAGGGGGGTGATACATGAGGGTAAAGGAGGTCAAGTACATGGTGATGGAAGGAGAACTGACTCTGGGTGGTGAGCACACAATGTGATATATAGGTGATGTCTTACAGAATTGTACATCTGAAACCTATGTAACTTTACTAACAATTGTCACCCCAAAGACTTTAATTAAAAAAAAAGAGAGAGAAATAGATCAACTAAGGATTAAAAGTTTTCACCATTCTAAAGGGTCACCTCTCTCTATGTACTCTTGGTACATAGTTTCCACTAAATAAGGAGTTTTAAAAAATAAATTTATAAAATAATATAATTAATTTCTAGTAGCATATATTGACTCCCCATATCTGCTTCCTTCCAGATGAGCACATGAAGTGCCTGGAGTACTACTCAGAAGAAAAAAACAGAAAGAAAAAAGAAGGTGCCAAAGACAATGTCTTCTTTTGGAACTTATTCTCCGTGGCCCTAATGATGGTTAACTGCAGAAAGCCAGAAGTAAGTGAATGAGGGAACATGAAATAATCTACAAAATTCTGGTGAATTGTCTATTTAGTAAATAACTTTCAAATTAAGCTATAAAATATGTGGTCCGTATAACACTTATGTCATGCTACATACACCTGTGAGTTCTCAGCAAATGCCAGTTTATTGTTCATTGAAAGGCACCAGAAAGAACCAAGAATACTGGTTTTGTCGTAAACTTCCATATCCCTTTTCTGTTCTTGGGTTTAACTGAATCACCGATCTACTGTAGCACACATTTTGGAATATTAATAACCAGCATGCTTTATTTTGCTTGAGTTCTTTCATGATTAGTTTGAGACAGAGTAGAAGTAGGGAAGGTGAAAGAAGGGAAAAGGGTGGAATTGATAGAAGAAAAGACAAAGAAGAACCACTTACCAGGGCCCATCATTCCCTTCACATTACTATCTCCTACGTGCATGGATCTGGACTCTTGGGCTGCAGAGAAAGGAAAGCTTTCAATCAGTATTCATTCCACTACCATGGACTGGGCACCTTCTATGAGCTAGGTAGGCACTGGGGACAGACTCACAGACTTCACAGTTTACTGGGGGAGACAGCAGAAGGAAGGAAGGAAGGAAATAAATTACAATAGAGGATGGCACGTGCTATTTTCCCATTTGTTAAAAATATATATTGTAATAGTGGTTGACCTCATAGACTACCATAAGAATTAAATCAGTTAATATTTGTAACTGCTTAAAATGATACCTTGTGCACAGTAAGAGCTAAATTGTTTAACTCTGATAGTGAGGAGGGTAATTATGAGAAGAGCCAGAATGGTGCTGTGAAAATGTAAGTCAGACTCCATCGCTCCTCTGCTTAGCCCTCCGATGGCCTCCCATTTCCGTGTAAAAGCCAAAGACCTTATAATGATCATAAAACCCTGAAACATCTGCCCCCCTGCCCTGTCTGCTCTTTCCTTTCTTGTTTTAAACTGCATCCCCTATTGTCTCCCTTGTTCACTTTGCTTTAGCATCACTGGTCTTCTTGCTATTCCTTGCACATGTCAGTTAGGTTCCCGCCAGGACCTTAGTACTGGGTGTTCCCTTTCTTCCTCTCGTTATCTGTAAGATTTCACCTCCTTCAGCTCTTTATCTGGCACCCGCTTTAAAATTATACCTTTGTTTCCTTTTTTTTTCTTATCACTATCTAACATACTACATATTGTATTTATCTTGTTCATTGTCTGCCTCCTTCAGAACACAAGCCCCATGAGAGCAGGAATTATTGTTGTTTTGTTCATTACTATATCCCACCACCTAAATCCATGCCTGGGGTGAGTGGGCGGGTGGGTGGATGGATGGATGGATGGATGGATGAATGGATGGATAGAAGGAAGGAAGGATGGGTAGAAGGAAGATAAAAGAAGGTAGTGGAATGGCCAACACCTTAACTGCAACCTCATGAGAGACCTTGAGCCAAAGGCACCGAGCTAAGCTGTGTACAGATTCCTGATTCAGAGAAACTGGGACATAATGAATGTCTGCTATTTTAAGCTACTAAATTTGAGGGCACCATTGCATAATTAACAGTGGGTGAGTAAACCCTTTCTGAAAGTTTAGTCCTTTGACCCTAAGTTTTAACATCACCTACCACCAATCATATCCAGAATGCCTTATTATGGTACATTATTCCCTAGTTTCTGCAGCAACTCAGTAGAATAAACTGTTATATAAGTCACTGCTAAGTAATGGGAGGAAGAGGAGGAGTTGCCATTGAACAGCTAATTTAAATCCACCTGGGCACTTTGCAAATATAATTTTTAATCTTTTGTCTTATGAATATGTTCAGTTGCCCCTGAACTGGCATTGCTCTGACCTCTACTTTCCAAGCCCACCCTGTATCCTTCCCTAACAAGACTATCCTTTTATGTCATGCTCTTCATAACACAGAGCAAAGAAAATAGAGCTACCTGCCATGAACCCACTCCCAAAATGGATCAATTAAGTTTTCCCAGGCTGCACCTATCAGCCTCTAAAATAACTACTCAGAGCGGTAAAAACTAAAAAAAAAGCAAGTCCGTACTTTGTTAATACTGATTAAAAACCATTTGATTTAGATTTTTAAGTTGAGTTATTCCAAATACATTTATTGTCTTTGAATATATGAGCCAAATTGTTCATTAAGCCATAAGGGTAGAAAACCACCAGCCCTGCCCTTGAGGACTTTACTATTGGTTGAGAAGCCATTGAGCTCTTTTAGAGACTTTCTACATGCAGCCATAAAAAAGAGGAAAATTCATCTAAACATTGTTAACATCTACACTGATGATCCTGTGTAGAAGGTGGTTTGCTAGATGCTGTTGAGGATACAAGAAGCAGTGATCATGGGCCGGCCGAGTGGCGCGATGGTTAAGAACTCGCTTGGGACACCAGAGGGCCCCGGTTCGGATCTCACATGTGAGGGCCAGTGACACTGCCCTCCACAGCTAAGATGGTGAACAACAACTCAACCTGGAGCTGGGCTGCCGTTAGTCGCCAGACACGGCGTAGGCTGCAGCCCCTGTGGCAGTGGGTTGCCATGGGCTACCGTTTGTGGCCAGCAGCCAGCGTGAGCGGCCAGCAGCGACTGATGTGCCTTGCCTGGGAAGAGCGCAATGATGGTGCCAACTTGGGCCAGTGAAGCAACGTCCTCCACAACTAGACTGAAGAACAAAATGACAGCAACTTGTCTGTTCCCCTTCCCCTAATTCCCCAGCACTGTTCCCATCCCCCCAATTCTCCAATAAAAATCTTTAAAAAAAAACAAGCAGCGATCATTGTTTGTTTTGTTTCTGTTCCTGAGTGAATATAGGCCACTAACCAAAACTTGGATATCCTTTGGAAAGCCAGTTTCTTCAGTACTGCTCAAGTGCAATTTCTAATATCTGTTCCAACATCCCTCAGACCAGGGACGTGGCTGGTGACTGTTTCAGCCCACAGATAACACCAACTGTGATTTTCCAGAATAGGAGGACTACAGTTAGACTGCCAGTAACATCACTACCTGCCAGTGAGGCAGATACGACTTTCTCATATCAGTGAAACCTTTGCTGAAAAAAACACAACACACAATTTTATCTATGCTAAGAACACAGCTCTTTTTAGAATGTCTATACAGAGAGGCAAGCATTGAGAAAGTAATGTGGAAAACAAAACGATTTATTAGAGTGAATAATTTGTTTTAAATACTTTTCTCCTGGTTGTGCAACAAATTATTTCTAATCCATCTGAAATTTTGAATACCCAGATTAGTATTTTCCCAAAAAAGAAAATATTTTAAAATTGGCTGGTCTCTCAGATCTTCTGGATTCTTTTAGATTCCAGGTGAAGAGGGCAAGTTCTGAGCAATACACCATTTTCCTCTAGTAAGAATGGAGGACTTAGGCCTATTCTTACTATTACTTAAACCCTAGGAACCAAGGGAAAAATGCTTCACTAGTTCAGTATGATTTGTGAACTGTACCTTTCTCATAGGCCTGAGAAGGCAAAAGGTTTGTAAAGTCTTCATTTGGAAGAACAGGCTCAGGGATATTGATTGAACGGAAAGGACTTCCTTGTGCTTGAGCAGGCCCAGCCTGTGAGCCATGTTCTTCTTTTTGAGTTTTCCTGGGGAAGAAAAGCAAAAGGTCTTAATACCTGGTGGGTTAGGAAGAGATTCAGTTCAGAATAATTCAAGAAAATTTCTGAATTATTAGGTTGAACCATATAAAATTGTTGTTTTTATGTATTAAATATGGTCAAATATTAGCAACTTAATTCATCACCAAAACTGGAGAAAAAATTTTAAATATCTGTAAGTCACCTTCTAATGGTAATATCTACATTCTTATTTTTCTGTTACTGGCTTCCTGGTCATCAGGTCTTTATAGAATTTGCAGTGGTGACAATTTGCTTGGAATGATGTACATTTGCTTAACAAAGCAACACAAAGGTACCAGGAAGCATCAGGTCTTCAACTGAAAACACTGAGCATCCTTCAGGGTCACACAAATATTATTGCCATATTTCTATTTTAAGTTTGATAATATTAAAAAGCATGTAACAATAAAAATTACATATATTTAGTGGTAAAACTTCGCTTGAGTCAACCTGGTTGATCTACTATATTTAACATAAATTTATTTCCCATGGTAGAAGTAAAATAATAGTGGCATTAGAGAAATTTTAGAAAACTAATAAAAAAAAATCACTGGTGACTCTACTATCTTAACACAACAATCACTATTTTGAAATATATTTTTCTAGTTGTTATATTACATGTTATTACAGTTGAAATCAAATTCTACATGCCATTTCATATAATTTTCATTTTACTTCCTATTGAATTAAGTGTATTTTCCGTTTAATAGTTACCATCCATTTTTAGTATTAACCAGCTTGTATGGCTCTGTCACCTCCATCTCATGCTGAACCATGAATCCCAGTGGCCAGCTAGCTATATACTGATAGTGAGGAAGGTGTTCTCTGGGCCTCTGTACAAGCCACTGCTTCTTGGTTTGCCTTTGCTCAATTTTTTGTAAGAAACTCACTTGGCTTTCACTTTTCGAGATTCTCTTCGCTTCTCCTGTTGAAGCTGTTCAATTTTCTGTTGCATTTCTTCTTGTTTGGAAGTGATGGCCTGGATCATTGACATGGCATTGCTCAGCTCTTCCTAAAAGATAAGAAACGATATGTATTTAATCTGGTGTATGAGGTAAAAGTATATAACATAGTATCTACTACACAGTAAGCTTTTTATACATATTTATTGAATGAATAAATGATGAAAATCTTACTTCCATTTTGGCCTCTAATTTTAACACAAAGATCCAAGAACAAAAAACATAAAATAGATATTTTTCTGTGATTATTAGTAAATGAGCCAGAGGGAAAATTCTTATATTTGGCTGCTATGCAAAAAGGCATGTTTTCTACTTCTTTCTTCAGCAGGGAAATAGAAGATGGGCCTACCTTGAAATAGTTTAATGAATTTTTCATCTCAGTAACTTTCTCTTCCATGGAACATTTGCAGCTCTTAACCTTCTCTTCCAAAGCATATTCTCCATGTTGAATTCTTGACAGTTCTTGCATTGCTTCTGTGAAGCCAGTTTTGAGTTCAGAGGCTAGGGCCTGCAACTAAATAATACACAGAGAGTGAATTCAATTTGCTATAAATAATTATAAATAGTACCATTTACCCCTTGAATTTTTGTTTGTTTGTTTGAGAAAGCAGGCACTTGAAACTTTATAGACTTCAATTCCTTGTAGACTGAAAATGGGGCTATTTAAGGCAACCTTGGCCCCATTCATGTAGAGGAAAGAGGGCCTCTTTTATATAGCACATGCTGAAGCTTGATAGTGAAAACAAAGCAAGTAAGTAGTTTACAGGTGCATCTGCAAGCTACTACTTATTCTAACACCTTTGATTAAAATGAGATTTAGTTGAAAAGCAACATATGCGTGTGCAAGACAGTCTTGATCCAGTAACTCTTTGAATTCCATGAAAGAAGGGATGGGTCATATTATCCCTGGTTGTTAGGAGCAGATGAAGAAATTCTGTTCTTTTTTTCCTTAAAAATGTAAATGATAAAATGACTAATAACTAAGCATATCTTAGAATTTCTTTGAAAAGGAAGTTTTTTAAATTTTATATTCTTGGATGTTATCATGGAAAAGGAGAAAATGACATTTTCGTTGGCTTTAATCCATAAGGAAGGCACAGAAATCTCTGCAATGGTAGGAGCGCAGCAGGTTGTTGATAGTGATATGAACCATCTTCAGCAGTCAAGTCTGCTTGTGTAGGTGTGCACACATTGAACTTCTATTGTCAACTTCCATACCATGAAAAGGTGGTCAATTCTGGAGTCAGACAGGGTACAGATCCTAGCACTCTTCCACAAGTACTGAAGCCTTAGGCAAGTTGGTTAACCTCTTTATAGCAGTTTCCTCATCCATAAAATAACCATAAGAACACCTATTTTACAGGGCTGTTTTGAGAATTAAATGAATACATGTAGGTAAGGTGCCTGTCACAGCCCATGCTAGGTACATAGAAGGTTTTTAAGACATTTTCATTCTTCTCCCCTTTTAAATGGCAAATCAAAAAGGTAAGTGCAAACAGAAATGTGGAGAAAATGGAGCACTTCTAAAGTTGTTTTATTTATTGAACAAATGAAAAAGAAACATTTTCAACAGACAGTAAGTTAATAATAACAATAAGATAATAGCATTACTTTCTTGACATTTATGATATTACACTCTGCCAAGTAGAGGAACTCTTAGCTCCAGATCTCTCTTTAAAACAGATTTTTTAGAAGATTCATTCTAAATTATCCGCCTAGTATTCTGGTTTTAAAGGGATGGAAATTAAAATCCAGTTATCTTAATAAAATTCCTTCAAATGTGTATTTCTAAGCATTTTGGAATCTGGTTGTCCAAATGGTTCCAACTTGCAATGGCATCCCCAACTGTGCAATGACTTAGTGTCCTATACCATGTTTTCAAAATATAAGGTTTTATGGTTCACTGTAACTCACGAAGGTTTCTTTCAAGGGCAGGGAATAGAGAGAAAGAAGAGGAGCCAAAGAGATCTTCTGAGGAAAAATCAGTACCTGTCAAGTGTTTGGGACCAGAAGACTGGGACACAACATCACCAATCTGGTTTCATTTCAATTAACTTTAATTTTAATGAATCATTGTGATGGATTTCAGCATATGTCCTAATTCAGTCATCATGATGGATTAAAATCACCAGATCAACTACTTTTAATCTGGTAATTCTCATTATGTAAATTCATCATCTATGCGCAAAATAAACAGAATTCACAACTATATAATACCACAGCAAAATGTATGCAAGTTTTAAAGCTGAAGGAAGAAAACCTAACATTCATTCAGGCATTCTGAAATTCACTCAGGTTTCCTGCTTTAAAAAAAAGGGAACCAGTATCCGACAGAAATAGGTTTCGTTATCACTGCTCCCTTAGGTGGGTATGTGGAGTTTTCCCCAGGAGACAGAAGGCAACAGACAGGATCCTAGAGGAAAGCACTTTTCCTCACCTATAGAACCTCAGCTCTCAAAAATTAAGAACTATGAAAAACGTTTTCTAACAGCCAGGTTATGTAGGGACTTGGAGAATTTTGGAACCGTTTTGAGCTGTGAGCCCATTTCCTTCAGGTACATTACTTTGAGCCCCTTGGGTACCTGTCACTCAAGTAACACTACTGCTTTCTAAACAGCTTCACAACCACTGCTCAGCCAGAGAGTGAGCTCAATCACACACCTGAGACAGCATGTCACTTTTAGGGTGCGTGGGTCTTAGTATCCTTGGTTGCTACGGACTGGTTTTCCAGTACCGACTGGCCATTTCTTTGTGAATAAAAAATACTCTAAAGACATGGGCGTAATATCTTTTTTCTGCTCTCTCTCTTCAGCTTTCTTATTTGACAGCCCACAGCCCACCCGAAGGATTAGAAATGGGTGTCTACCTTGTTCTCCAGCGAGCTGAACACGTTCCTCATCTCGTTGATTTTTTCATGAAGATTTTCTAGAGAGGTTATGATCCCTCCATCCTGCCGCTGGAGGCGGGCTCCCACTGGAGGCAGGTTCAGGGAAGACTTGTACTTCGAAGCCTAGGGTACCACAGAGGGCATCTTAGGCTTAAAGAATTAGGGGAGAGGAGTCCGAATTCTTCCTATTTTCTGCTCTTAATTTCTGTTTCTCAATTTTCTTACTTTCTTGGCTTCTTAACTCTTCATAAGATGCATTTTAGTCAACGTCTTCCAATTTTTTTTCCTACCAAAGATCCCCCATGCTAAATGTTCATAAAGTATGCACGTTGTTCCAGCTTGTTTTTTACACAGACTTGTCCTTTTTTTCTGTCCCATTATCAAAGTCATAAAGCTACTATGAAGCAAATTCAGGGCACTGGGCCTGTGCAAACTTATGAATTCTGCAAACTTATGAATGCCAATGTTTCAGAAACCTCCACAAGACATGCCAAAACCCTACAATACCCGGCTAAAGGCTCTATAAGAGCAAAAGCCCAGGTGTTTTGAGGTAGTGTGTGATGGCGAGGATGCCAGGGTAATTGCTTGGGCTTCCCCCTTAACCAGGGTTGCTGGAGAAGAAACATGGTCTTCCTGCCAGCGTCATCTCCCAAATGTCAGGCCTTTTTATTAATCCCCAAGGATTCAGTGATTTAAAACACAAAGTCGAGAGGAAGTTATTTGAACAGTCAAGAGTAAATTTCTCAAATCTACTTCTCTACACTCCCTGCAGAAGTTGACCCGTAATGTCATTCTGACAGGGTGCTGTTGAAGCTGATAGGAAGCCTGGTGTGCCAGAAATTGATCTTATTGATCCTGGATGTACCGCAGGCCTAGTAGAATTAACTTCTCTAGTGTTGGAAGGCATTCTTCAATGGTAAAAGGAGACTGAGGCTCAGACAGGACTTATAAATCCTAGAAAACTTTCAATGGCAGTTTTAATGATGAAACCTATTACTGTAGGACTGGTTCCCATAGTTTTTCAATTAGAGGCCCTTTTAGTACATAACTCCTTTTCTTAAATTCATTACAGAGAAAAATAAAAAATAAAAAAAGAGAATCACCCCCAATCTTATGACTTTAATATAACCATTAATGTTTAGGCATATTTCCTTTTGTTTTGCTCTATGCATATAAATGCAGATATTTATATGGTTGAAATCACACTACAGATACATTTTCATTATGCTCTCCCCTTTTTGCCTAACATTCTTATAAGTCTTTTCCTATACCCTTCAAAATGTTTTCTAAGTGCCTATTTTTAATGACTGCATAATATTCTATCCTATGGGTGTTCCAGAGTTTAGCTACCCATTCGCTCTTGTGGAAATTTATGTTGTTTGTAATTTTTCAATATTAGAAATAATGCTGATATATTATGCTTTTTGTTTTAAGCTTTGTATGTATTTCAGATTATTTTCTTAGGATAAATTGTTAAATATGATATTACTGTGAGTCAAAGGGCATTAGGTAATATTTAACCCAAGGAAAATCTACTGTATTGGAGAGAGACAATATATTCAATTAATAAGTATGTATACAAAATATATTGGATCAGAGGGCTTGAAAAGTTGTAATAATATGGTTGTATATTCTTAGAAACTTACTGTATGATGTGTAATGTCCTGAATTAGTGTATTTAGAAAACATGTCTTAGATAAGATATGTGAAACATAAGTAATATAAATGGAGGAAGCTGCAATGTTTACATTCCTAAGCCCGCAAGTCAGCCAAACACACAGTTGTTATTCAAAACATTAGTGTAAGGGTTGAGCTAGGACCAAACCGTGCAGGCATCACATCTGTTGCTATAATTGTGGGACCCTCCCCAACTTCTCATGTTAATGGAATCATAATTTTAAAATCCATATGCAAAATGAAGTAATCAACAGTGAAGCAGCCCAGTCTGACTGAAAAGGAGACAGGGGTGGACTTTGAGAGGGCTATGTACTGTGGGAAAAGGATGAGTGAAAAACACACTTGGGTTCAAACAAAAGAAAATACACTGAGCTAAGGAACAGTCCGTGTATTCATACTGTTTCACCTGATCTGGCAGTAATTCTACCTGGAATGAATTGGGAGATGATAGTGCGTATTTTCCTGTTGGCTTCTGTGACCTAATTACTTTTACCAAGGAGGTCAAGTCCATCCAAAGAACAGGGATCCAAGTGGGGGAGGGTATGAACATTCTAACACTTTTATTACACTTTAATAATTTTCATAAAAGGTTCCACCAATTTACAAACATTCATCAGAACTAAATATTATTAATTATTTTTCAATATTATAAATAATGCTGATCAATTACTTGCTAATTAGGTAGTCAAAAATAATACTCCTTGTTTTAATCATTCTGTTTCTGAGCTGAACCTTTTCTTCTCATACGTAATTTTACTTTGGTAAATTGTTTTGTTCTTTGTATTCTACTAAGTTCCCAGAAGTTTCCTTTTTTATTGATTTCTATTATACATATTTAAATCTTTGCAATATTTTTGTAAGGATTTTTCTAATTTTATTATTTGCCTTTGAGTTTGTTGAAAATATGTTTGCCTTTGGAAAATTTTTAATTGTGATGTGGATGAACTCTTTAATTTTTTCCATTGTCATTTCTTCTGGTGCTTTTTTACTTAGAAAGACATTTCACATCCAGAGACAAAATATTCACTAGTTCTAAATGTTTATGGTTTTATTTTTTATATTGAATCCTTTAATCCACTTTAGAGTTATTCTGATTAGGGTATAAAGTGAAAATCTATTGTTTTTTTCCCCCAAAGAACCAGGCAATTTCCAAACACCATTTGGCACCAGGCTGAATGGCTGTATCAAACCTCTTGGCTCAAAGCAATATACACACCTTGCAGATAGTCATTCATTCAACTAATATTTATTGAATATTTTTATATTCCAGGTACTGTACTTTATGCTGAGAATACAACAGAGCAAAATGCACTAAATCCCTGCCCTTGGAGCGTACATTCTAGAGAAAGAGAAAGACAATTAAAAAACAAACAAGTTAATATTTACTATAATGTCAGGTAGAGATGGGGGTCTATCAAAAAAATAAAATGAGATAGTGGCTGAAATGTCATATTTTGCTTCAAGTTTCATATTTTGCTCTCCCTTTTTAGTGTAGATTGTGTTCTATAGTTAACCTCTCCCTGCTTCCCTCCTTCCTCTTCCTCTTCTTCTTTCTTTACTTCTCCTTCATCTTCTTTTGGTTAAAAGTTGCTTGGAGTAAACAAACTGGGGCTTAGAAAGCATTCTTTTAAAACAAGGATGGGGTTATAATCACAGAATCTCAGAGGTCATATAGACCAACTTCACTTCCACTGCTTCATTTGTTCCACTGTGAACAGATGTACTTGGCTTTGTGATACAGTAAGAGAAGGAGGCCACCCCCACTGCAGCTATATTTAGCCAACATTCAGGGAGTGACCTACATAAAATCTATAACAAACTTTAAATCATACCTGAGTTTAAAGAGACACTCACACTCTTGAAATGCCATACACACCTAGGTCAGACGTTAATACAGGGGAGGTGGGCCGAGAAGGCATTTGGAGGTCTTGGACCAGAGAGACATCAAATCAGCACTGAGAAGACTGTCTTCTGTTTCCGGGCCTTTGTTCAAGCTAGTACCTCTGCCTGAAATACCCTTCCCCATATCCACTTACCAAATGATCAATTTGTCTTTAAATGCCCGGTTCAAGTCCTTCAGTCAATATTAATTCATCCTTCCCCCATATCCCATAGATCAATGCTTCTGTTGTAATCCTTCTGACAGCCTTCTTTGTATGAGCTATTTATTGTATGTGTTTACCAGGACACTGAAAAGTCAGTGAGAATGTCTGTTTCATCTCCCATTAGGCCAAGCAGTAAACTTTACACATAGTAACTGTTCAATAAATAGGCATTAAGTTGAAATGAGTCTTTCCTCCACCCCCTCTCATTGCCTGTCTGGGTTTATAGGAGCAACACGATTAAAAATGTTCACATAATCCTGTGCTGGTGTGCCCTAAGTGAATTCACACCAATAACCTCTTGCATAATATTTCTGGGATCTAGTTATTATTTTCACTTTACCATTACTTGAACTCAACAAATTTAAATAACATTTCCCCAAAACTATCTGCTCTTCTAAATTCCTATATCTCTTTCGGGAGACCACACACTCTTTCTCCTGGTTACCAGAGCTTAAAACCTTAGAGCCAACTTTGAAATCACCTTTTTTTCCAACCCCCACCACGCCCTATCAATTCTGTCTTTCTCCTCATGTATTTCAGATACCACTGTCTTAACTCTGGAGAAGATCATGGATTTCCCTAGCCCAAGCTTCTTTTACATTACAAATTATGTCTGAATCAAGGTCCATGATTTTTAAGGACATAAATTTACTTTAAATTTACAGTGGGAAGATAGAAGCCAAGTAAATACTAGTTAGTGAGCCAAAGCAGCCCAGTGAGACTCTCACTGCAACCATATTACACAATGTTTTCCAGAACTTTTATCTTCTTTGTAAATTAAATTCCCATTGTTTAAGGGAGCTTACTTTTTTTTTTCTATCACCATATTTGAACATTTACAATGCTAATCCCCTTTCAGCTCTCAATTCTTTCTGCTAAAACAGGAAACTGAGAAAAACAGACCTTGCTCTCTCTTTCTCTCTGACAGAAATGTTACTGCCCTGTGTGATGGCCACAGTGACGGTGGCAACAGGCAAGGAGAGCATAGTTGATTGGGAGTGGTGGCGCTGTGTTTTATAAACTGGGTAAGTAGTCCTTTAATAATCAGTTTTCTCAAAAGTGCAATTGGAATGGTGCTGTCTGCCCTGCTTGTCTCAAATACAATGAACTTGTTAAGTGAACAAATACAATGATAGGTGTGGAAACATCTGTGAGCACTAAAAAGTTTATACGTACAAGACAGTCATTACCATGACATATAGGACCATTCAAAACAATCTATTTGTCTTTACCTGGTAAATCTGTGTGGAAGGATTATTCATTGGCATATGTTCATTCTCTCCTGTAGGGAGAAAGAGCTTTGTTTAATCAACAAGACTCATTCTGTTCCTATCCTCTTCAGACACATGCAGGGAATAAGGGGATGTAGAGGATCCTAAATCCATGCCTGTATGACCAGAAACCAATGATTCAACAGGAACAAAACATAACTGGTGTAGGTGATTTTATAGTCACATCTTAATAACCAAACCATACGTACCTGATATAGCTCTTGTACTATAGTAGGAAACCATGTTCTACCACGGTGGGGACGTTTCTCCACCAAACTGAATGGTTAACAGTCACTAATTAGCCAGAAGGGAGTGCCCATGAAGGGTCTCCCTCGTGTTCTTGGGGCTGGCTGAAGTTTACCTGATGGGATGATTCTATAGTGAGTAACGGTGCGCTTCGCCAGGCACCTGTCCAGTTGTCACTCTATGGTTCTCAGGAAGCCTGCTTAAAATATCCTTTACTTCTGGCTCTGATCTTGCTAAACTTCTGAACTCTTCCCTCATGTCACTGCCTAAATCAGCTAAAGGAATCTTGTTGTTCTCCTGGGCAAGAGGATTGATAGAAGGGAATTGTAAATGGAAAGGGTATGGAAAGGATGCAGGCAGAAAGAAAACAGCCTTGTCAACACTAGAGGTTGCGAAACATGAGTCAAACACAAAGGAAGGAGTAGGTTATAAAAAAACATTTACAACCTAGGGAGAAAAAAGGTTGGCCTAGAATGTACCTTTCAGAACCACACTGGTTGGCTGTGAAGACAAGGCATTTCATGTAAAACATGCAGCTCTTGGCTCATCCATTTAGCTACATGTCTATTGTGTCCCATTGTATGAATCAAGCAGTTTATACATGAAAGCCCTGGTTGCAAACATATGGTTGTGTGGATGTGTATATTGTTCTCCTAAGACATGCTGGTACCGGAAATGCTTCCTTAACCAGCCTCAGCATGTTAAGTTCATAAATAGTACATGACCTCAGCCCAGAACTTATATACACAGATGGCTGTCCCTATAAAGCCCAGATGGCTGGAGATTGCCAGAACTTCCCAAGCAAGCTTGAGTAAAGATGACTTAGCCCATTTTATGCTGTCCCAACAGCCTGGTATCATGGCAAGAACCAGAACTTGGGAAAAGAAGCCAGGCTCTCGGATCAAACTTTGACACTTTGTGGTAGTAGCCTGGCTTCTCAATGACTGTCTCCTCATCTGTAAGTTGGAGCTGATAACAGCAACCCACTTCTATGTGGTTGATTCTATATGGTAAAGTTTAAAAGAGAAAGCCCTTATGTCTAGGCTAGCCTGGAAAGTGTTGGATATCTACTCGCTGAATCTGTATTTTGGCCTTATTGAACAGGTTGTTCTGAGGCAGTCCTAAAGTCATTGCTAAGAAAAATAAGATAACTATTCAAACCAAATTATATATACAGTGTTTTCTATTTCTCCAGCACAAAATCTGTGCTCTTTATGGGCATTATATTGTCATAAGGAAATGAGAATAGTCGAGTTAACATATTCTCATGTTTTGAGACAATAGCAAGACAAGACTACAACCTACATTTCTTAAATCCTGAGCCCTAAAACAAGACATAGGAAAAAATCTAACCTTGCTTTGTTTTGGTTTTTTCCATGGTGCCTGTTGCTTCTCTCCTCCAGCTTATTCTTCAACATTGCATCTTCATTGTCCCTGGATCAGGCCATCCCCTCTTCCCTGGACCTGTCAATTGAAATCAAGAGTAAGGGATGGCAAATAGAACTGGAGAATTAACTCGACTTACTTTGTGGTTAACTTTAAAAAATGGAGATAAACACAGCTGTTAGAGGCAACTTCAGGTTTATGTAATTCCAGAAAAGTGAAAATGTTGAGTGACTATTTAGCTTAAAACTTAAAGGTACATATTTTGTGAATAAGTATGAAATTTGCTAGTTAAAATTATACTAGCTTTTAATATGGTACATTCTTTTTTTGGATCAGATCAATTAATTTAGACCCATTGATTTTATTAGCAGATTATAGTTTAGGGAAATTATCTTAAGAAAAACTTGAGCAAGTATGAAGACCAATACATCTGTTTCTGTTTCATTAAATAGTAGTAAGTTTCTTGATGGCCTTGTCCACATTCTCAGTATCTGGTAGACTCCTTTACACCCAGGAGGTGCTTATCCAATGTGGCCTGGTTTTAGTGATTAGTAGACATGAAGCTGCAAGTTCAGAGTGCAATCTAACAAAGAAACAAATGCTGTCAGTGTTGTGAACATTTTAGCCATCGAGAATTTTAACCCATAAGGCGGGAATTCCCCCACCTGATGAGGCTTGAGAAGATGCCTCACACTATAGAGGCTGGAAGGGCCAGGTTCTCCTAGCCTCCCTTGCAGCTAAGGCATGATGGACACATGACCTAGGACATGCCACTTAGATACACCCACTCCAGTTGATAATGGCAGTGACAGAAGGATTCCTAAAGCACGTATACTTGATATACTTTTTACTTTCCAAAGGTTCCTAAGACAGTGGTGGCAGAAAGGGTAGTACCTTGATCTGGTACAGACAGTTTAGGTAACTCAAACTGCTGCTTTTGGTGCTTTCCTCACCAGAACAGATGTACTATACTTGGGGCATTGAACAGATGTACATATACTTGGTTGCTGGCCACATAATCCCAGCCTCCAGTTTCCCAGCAATTCTATGCACTGCCCATATCCTTTCAACAAATTCCCCTGCTGCTGAAATCAGCCAGAACTTTTTTCTGTTGTTTGCAACTAAGAAATCTGATTAAAACAATCAAAATATATTAACACTATCCAAGATAGAGAAAACAAATTAAAACTTTGTTCACTCTAGAATAGCCTTACATAATCTGTAGTGACAAAATGCAGATCTGTAGTTACCCAGAGCAGGAGGTGGGTTTTTTGCTGTTGTTGTTTTTTTAATTGGGGAGTTGGAGGATGGGAACAGCACTGGGGAATTGGGGGAAGGGGAACAGACAAGTTGCTGTCCTGTTGGTTCTTCAGTCTAGTTGTGGAGGACATTGCTTCACTGACCCAAGTTGGCACCATCATTGCGCTCTTCCCGGGTGAGGCAGATCAGTTGCCGGCTTCTGGACGGCCACTCACGCTGGCTGCTGGCTACACACGGTAGCCCATGGCAACCCACTGCCACAGGGGCTGCAG